GAGAGAGAGTGAGAGATATAATACAGCTTGTTTCCAGAACCTGACCCCCCCACAGCATGGCTAGTAGACCATCAGCACGGGAGGGAGCAGCCACAGCCCCACCGCCCCCAGCTGTGGAATATTATGGGCATTAACGCCCCCATTGTGGCCACGGTATCTGTACGAACACGCAGGCTTTAAACTGCTGTCTGCGTGCTTCTCTTTTTCCCTCTTAGATCGCCCGTGAGTGGTCTGAACATCCGCTATGACTCCTCTGGATTGACGGCCTCAGGTCCAGCCGTCAACGGGGCGAGCTCTGCACTGCCAGTGGCCACCAGCATCGAGCAGCTCCTGGACCGACAGTGGAATGAGGGCCAGCAGTTCCTGCTGCAGCACGGTGCTCCGGGGGCATCCGGAGACTGTGAGTCCTTCCTTTCCCCCTCCCGCCAGTCGCATGTCTCGCACCTGACTCTCACATGCCTCAGTTTTATTAGCACGTGTGTCTCAGGGTCACACGGGCATGCGGCTCACGCCTGCCGTCCCGCTTGTTGGGGCTCCCCTGACCGGTAACAGATATTTAACGTGAAGCTCTCCGATTCCTTCATGTCCGTTGTGCTGCATAAACGGCCACCTGTGCCACAACGCTGATTCTTAGGTGATTAAAATTCGCAGGTCGTTTCATTTGTAATGAAGCTGCATAATTGTGAACGTGCAGTCAGTGGGCTCCAGACAATTTTAATGAATCCTCATTGAAATTGCAACTCTCCTGTTTATATTGGAAATTCATTATTGTTGTAATATACGTCTAATTGCTTACATGGTTGCAAAATGACAGTTAACATTAAATTACAGTTCTGTAGCTGTGTTCTTTTGTAATGATGAGTGGCATGAGGCCTGCTTTGAATATCACTTTATCTGTTTCTTAATTAGCTTAATTAGTAATGGCCGTTTAATCATGCAGAGGTACTTTCCAACTTGTTTTAACTGGTCTCCGCTAACATGTGGCTGTGTCTTAAAGTGTTTTAAAGTGGTGGTACTTTTAAAATGTCTACCTGTTTGAAGAGCTCTACTTGTTTCTTCCTAATACAAAGCTCGTAAATTTTATTTTATTTAATGTCTAAGTGGTGTTGAGTCCAGGTTGTAGGCGTTCTAGTTACGGTGGGTGCTAATTAATTTTAACATGTCACAGGGGCTAATTGTCTTTAGCAGTGGATCTCTGATAAGAAAAGTTTCTTTTTCACCATGTTTGTTCACGCTGGTGCATTGTCCTCATGGTACTGCTCTGTGATTGGCAGCTGTGATAGATATGCAAATGAGGAGGAAGTGTGGGTGGTACTCACTTTGGCGGGGTCACTGGGGCGACCTCCAGCATTTTTTTTTTGGGCTTCTTAAATTAAATTCCCCCTTTCCCGCATCCCTGTGTGGATGAGATGCTGCTTCACCTATCGTGCGTGCCACCCCCACGCTGACTGCCACCCCCACTCCTGCCCGCAGTGCTGGCCATGCTCAGGTCCCTGCACCAGCTGCAGACAGAGAACCGCCGGCTGGAGGAACAGATCCGCACACTGACCGTGAAGAAGGAGCGGCTGCAGCTGCTGAGCGCCCAGCTCGCCGTGCCTTTCCCCCCTGCCAGCAGTGCCGCCAGCACCAGCAGCACCAGCACGCCGGCGGCCTCCTCACCGCAGCTGCCCGGCGCAGGCCTGCACGCAGGTCAGTGACACACCAGCAACGCATGCGCTACCTGGCGCGGCCTCTGTGCTCTTGTTAAATTGTCTGTTTTACCTTCAGATGTGCTGAACAGTAGCAAGAGCCCTCAGCTAGGCAGCACGTTTCTTCCGGACTCCGCCCTGCCTCTGCCCCTCCCCCTGGCGGCTCAGGTATGCCCCCTGCTGGCCTTCGATGTCGCGCCCGTTTGGAATTCGCTGCCTTGCTGAGCTCTGCCTTCCTTGCGTCTTCCCCTTGGCAGGACAACGCCTCCAGCAGCCGAAGCAGCAGCTCCGCCCTCTCCACCCCCCCCTCGGTGGGCCACGGCTCCCCTCCGTCTGTGCAGCAGCAGCTGCAGGTCAATGGGGCGCCGGGGGGTGCTATGCAGTCTGTGGCCCCCGCAGCTGCCGCCGGGGCCCTCCCTACAATGCCTGGCGTAACGGGACTGATGGGGGCTATCCAGGGGGGGCAGCTGGCTATGAACGGCATAGTGGGAGCCCTAAACGGTGTGATCCAGACGTCGCCCAGCTTGGCGCAGAATGCCAACGCCCTCCCTCACCCTGTGGGTGTGCCGAGCGTCCCACTGACCATCTCCAGCACCCTTAACAACAGGTGAGCCCCCCCCCCCCCCTTGCTCCGCTCAGCCACCAGCTTCGCTTTGCCTGCCGGTTCCGCAGAGAGGCTTTTTTGAACTTTCAGCAAGCCGACTAAAGCTGAACGAGTCCAAGTTGATCCCTTGCATGTTCTCTCTTTCTGGCCTTGTTCACGTGGATCGCAGCAGCACCACACCTGGGAAAACCAGGTGAGCTCCTCCCCCCTTGGGCAGCTGTGCCTCTGCCTTCCTGCCCATCCAACCCATCAATTTCGTGTCGTGTTTGTTGTGTAAAAACCCACTCAGCTGCCATCAGTCTGCCGTGCTCTTTGCAGATAGAACATCCATCATGCTCTTCATGAATTGCCAGAAAATAATAAACTTTAACATCCTGCGGCCTGGGATTGCATGCTTCGTTTAATCAAAGTTGCCCTGCATTTTTGTTGATGCTCCACTGTCCCCAGTGGCCCCACAGTGGCAGTGAGATGTCACGGCCTTGCTGTTGTGTGCTTGCAGCGCGCCGGCCCTGGGCCTCCTGTCGGAGCAGCAGCGTCAGATCCTCCTCCACCAGCAACAGCTGCAGCAGCTCTTCTCGTCACCACAGCCCACCCCGGTAGGTGAGGGGGCCTCCTGCTCTCCAAGTCAGGACGCGCGTCCCCACTTACAGCTCCCTGCTTCCGTCTGTCTGTACAGCAGGAGCAGCACCAGGCCCTGATCTATCAGCTAATGCAGCAACAGCAGCAGCAGCATGACCTGCAGCAACTCCAGCATCTGTCCTCCTCGCAGCTGCCTGTCAACAGCCTGCTGCCCACAGCTCAGAGTGCCATTGCTACCAACCCCTTCCTCACCATGCACACAGAAGCTTCCCAAAAAAACGCTGTGAGTACCTCCCGAACCGTACCTCATTCTGCCAGCATCCTATCAGCTCTTAATAAAATGACAGACGGCAGAAGACGTGAGCGTGAATGCATTCTCAGTGCAGCCATGTTCCTGCCCACAGCGCCTAGCCGAGAAGGGCGGTGTGGTCACCGGCCAGGAGAAAAGCTGACCGAGCTGGGTGTGTCTCCCTGAGAGCAGCTCATCACCCAGCCCCTTCTTGGGGACCAAGGACAGAGAGCAGGGGTTTGCCACGGAAAACGCGAGGGGTGAAGACCGTCGTCAGGAACATGACGACACTTTGTTGCACTAAAATCTTCAGGGACTGCAGAAATCTGGCGAGATAAAATGGACGCCAAGTTCATGTGAGAGAACGAAGGTGTGTGTGCTACCTTGGGGCAGGGCTGGCCGGCAGGCCTGTTACTGACAGGCCAGGTGGGAACAGCCACACTCCGATCCTCTTTGGGGCCAAGAAGGCACTATGCTTACCATTGTACTGAGTGTGTGTTAAAATGCAGTGGCTTTACCGGGCGGCAGAGCTGTCTGACGGCTACAGCCCCACTGAGCAAAAGCCGGCCTCCGTGGGCTGTCCAGCCATGTGTAAACCAGCATGTTTAGCAGTCTGCTGGGAGGCGGTGTGGTTTGGTGGCTTTGCTTGTCCATCTGTGGTTACCTACAACCCCGATTCTTCTCCACCACCACCAGCACTCTTTATCGTTCAAGAGTCCCGAAACTCAAAATGATACCAACCCACTGCATGTTCAAACCTACTCTGCCTTCAGCCGGAAGGTTACGCTGGAGGACCTTTTGCTACGTTGAAGAATCTGCAGATGAATGCTGTTAATTTATTAGAAGTTCTGTTCAGGTGAGCTTAAGATGTTTCTGTGAAGTGCTCAATCCAGTCTAGCATGGAGGACCTTTCCCACTGCTGTCCAAATGACACTTTCACAGACATCTTCGGTCATATCCTACAGGTTTTAGACCTGACCCTGGATTTGTAAACAGAACCTGTAAACAGTTGAGGCCAAAGCTTCATTTGGCCTTTGTAAATAGCTCGTCTCTGTGTTACACAGAGCTGGAGCCGCTGTTCGGGTCGTACTGAGCCTTAAATTGCACAGTTTTACCTCGTTTATGTAAATAAGTGTCCGTAAGTGTCTCCTCCATGTTGTGAAGATGCAGAACTTTTTTGCGTTAGTTTCTATCAGCCATGCAAGCAGTGACTGGACACAAAGTATTTATTTTTTAAATAAGCAGGGAAATTTTACAACTCTTGCACCATTTTGTACTTTGGCCCCTTGTTTCTTTTTTCAGGTGAATCAGTTTTTGTACAGCATTTAAGACGAATCTCAAAGGTATATATTTCAGAATAACGCAAACTTATTTATGTTTGAAGAAAGACAAGTAAACAGAAAGACCCGTCGATTTATACTGTTTGTAGCAGGAACCTGATATTAAAGTTATGTAGTGTGAATCAATTGTTTCACTGATAATTCACAGTACGTAAAATGTGAAGAATTTAATTTTTTTTTTTTTTTACTACTTGAAACATTGGTGCTATGTATACTGAAGTAAATGGTCTAAGACATTGCCTGTGTTCAGCTGTTTCTAAACTGATGGGATAACTGCATTTGCATAGAACAGTCGACGGACTCTGGCCTGGACCGGAGCGTAAGGGAGCCCTTTCTTCTTTTGAGTCTTGGTACCAGGCAGTAACTGCTAGTTTCTGATTGACAGCATGCAGCTTAGGCCTTTGTACAGTCATTCCTGCATAAATACTACTGCCATCCAGTATGGTCAGGGTAAGCATGAATATTCAAAACATGAGTCTAGGTATAAACAAGCACACTGGTTCCAGGCCTATGGAAACACTTTAATGCACATCAGTCTGTCCTGCTTTGGTTACAAACTCACCTCAGCCTGTTGCATAGACATTTCCTTTCATGTAAAGTGTCCAACTAAAAGCACTCAAGTATAAAGACAGCCTGTGCTCAATAAATAAAACCATGGCGATGGACGGGGGGGGGAGGGGGGATGAGCTGGACGTCCGCTGGCCGACGGGCCGTTTGGGTGGAGTGAAGGCACACGGCAGGCAGGTGAGAGGTACGAGGGCACAGCAATGTCCTGGAGTCAGCTCTTGGCTTGTTTCCTCTTCTGCACGAGCTCTGCCAGGAGCTTGTAGCGAACCATGCACTCTTCCTGCGGGAGAGCAGGCAGCATCAGTGGCTAGCAGCACATGCAGGAGATGCTCGCTCACTATCATTAGATGAAGTCTAACTTCCTCAGGACACACAACGGAAAATGATTTTACATCGCTACAATCTGGACTACAAAAGAAACACGACCGAACCTAAGAGCCAGTTATGGCGCTGAGAAGAATGTTTAAATCCCAGAGCTGTCTAAGTGATTTCACCATTGGGCCCTTAAGTAAGGGTTCAGATTGAACCTGCACTCTGACCTCAAACTGGCTTGTGTGTATAGTATTTTTACGTGCATCTTCTGGAAATTATATATAGAAATTAGTACATATTCGTAACGAGTAAGCACTAACACATTTGAGAGACTTAAAGCACCAGTCCTCACCAGCTCCCCGGTACTCTTACCTTGGTCTTGCCTGGTACCACCTTGGCGATCTTGTCCCATCGCTCGCTGGTGCCACGCGGATACTGTTGCAGAGCCTGCTCCAGGAGCTTCTGCTGGTTCTGAGTCCACAGCTCCTCTGGGCCCATCGGCCTGCCCCCGCCTGGCTTGCGCTCATCGGCGCTGTCATCATCAACTGTAGCGTTTGGGTCGAAGTCCCTCTGCCGTCGAGTCCGGGCCTTGTCGTCGCCCCCGGGAGCTGCCAGCCGGTTACCCCTCCTGTGTCGGGCCCTCCCCTCAGTGTCCTCCTCACCTGGCTCCGTGGGGCCCGCCCCCAGGTCTTCTCTCTGTGTAATGATGCTGTCCGGCAGGGTAGCCGCCTTCATGCTCTTCCCCATCTGCACGCCAGACTTGAGCTCAGAGAGCTTCACCAGACCTGTTGAGCGAGGGGGGAGGGGAGGGGGGGGTCATGAGGGCAGGAATGAAGAGCTTTTCCATAGATTGCTGGTGTTGAGGGCCGACTAATAATCTGATATTTAAAGAGCGAGTTTATTATTTATTTATTTTTAGACCAAAGTACCCATTTAACCTCTTCATACAAGTTTTTCCTGGAAAAAAATGGCCCGACAAAATATACAGTGATATAAATTGAAGGTGTATAATTGGGGTAAAAAAAAAAAAAAAACTGCTTTGGCCAACATATACAATGGACAATGTTACAACTTCTTGGTATGCAGAACTTCAAAGGGTAGGAAAGCACATTCATAAAAGCGTGTGCGCCATATGTCCGTCAGCTAGGAATGTGCCTTCCTCTGCTGAAAGTGCAGTGAAATGTGTGCTCCAGGGCATTCTCTGGGGTACGTTTTTAGTTTTCCCCCTAGCGTTTTATCACGTTATGTTGTCATGTCACCATTCAAAACCTGTTTCAGCATCCTAAAGATGGGCAGGACCGGGACTGAAAGTGCATTAGGTCGTCTGAAATGAATACGGCCGACAGGGCAACAATTCCTGGCCTGAAACCTTCTGAGAATTTGTGGAATGTACATCGGTTTGTCTTAATCAGTACTACTAAGGAAAGTGGGCAAGTTAGACCATCTGCACACAAGGCTGCCACGACCCTTGAATGAAAATGCATGAGGCTTGAGGCTGCAGCAAGGCCCCAAAGGCGGGTGAGACGCTTTGCACAGTCCGGCGCTTACCGGATGTGTTGGTGACACAGTCTTTCACTTGTTTCACCTTTGAAGTGACCTGTGAGGGGAAAACAAATTAATATTTAGGCTGAGGGGTAATCACTGATCAATCATGATGGGGGAAAACAGGGAAATATGGGGGGGATCATTATCTTGCGGTGTTTAACTCTGACCTACTAAAAGAGATGGGTCAGAATTTCTGAAAGAATTTCTTCAGCAAGTCTAAGCAGTATTAAAATAACAGCCCGTGTTAAAAAGGCTTCCTTTCCAGTGCTTCCTCCCTGCCAATAATTTCTTCAGCAATAAATGATGGTGTACGGCTGAGATGCATTAGTGACCCTTTACTGCAACCCTACCCCAGTGCTGTCTTGGTACGTGCATCACTCCCGGCGTGGCTAGACGCTGCTTTTCAGACCTGGTTTAGTGTAGGAAGGGGGTTGGGCACCGCAGGGCATTTGGCTTGGGATGGGGGTGGGTGGGTTTAGGGCAGATCATATTACAGGCAGGTAACTAGCAGGACCTGCCTCTCACTCAGCACCTAATCAGACATCCGCTGATCACGGAAGCTGTTTGATTCCCCTGCTGACAGACAGGCTCACACTGTCTTCTCTGGATCTTTCTTACTCAGTCATTTTACCTCCCTTGCAGCCAATGGGGGTTAAAAAGAGGGGGGGAAAAGGTAATCAAATTATGGAGAGGAAATCTTCAGAGAATGGCATGTAGTGCTGCTGGCTTTCATGCATTTAGGACAAGTCTCCATTCCGGAAGGAGCTCAAAGAGCACTTCAGTTTCCTCTTCTGATTGCGGGGATAGAGTCCGGCGGTAGGAACGGCACATTCATGCCTAAATGCTGATTAGCTGGTACATCTGTCTGATGTGGGGCCACTGCAGGGGGGGGGGGGTTGGTGGATCTGAGCATTATGTTGCACATGTGAGGAGACTGAGACCAAGACCAACAGGCTAAGCTGGGAGGAAACGTCCAGCTACCCATAAATGCTGTAACCTGAGTCACAGTGTTTCTCGCACTGGGCCCTGCCCACCATCTCCCCAGAAGCGTTGTCAACTGAGCCTGTTTCCTTGAGGCCCGCTTCACCGTGCCACTCTAAGCGCCATGCTAGCGGCCGTCAGGATATGAAAGGCACCGATGTGCCATGAAGACCATGTCGCATCACGCACTGGCACCTCAATCTAATAAATCAAAGCTCAGCACATGCCAAGGCAAGATCCCTCAGCAGACCTAGCAGACACGGTGTGTAGGTAGGCATCTTTCCTTTTGTGGTTTACCTTCCTTTGCGGTTTAACCGCCTCCCCCCTCAAACCCCCCCAGGTCACACTGTCCCACTCCCCCCCCTGATTACTTCCAGCTGCCCAGTAACTACAGAGTGAGCAAAGTCTCTCACATCTGCCTCTGCTTTGGCTAATTAATTGCTCCCAATCCCCGGTCCCTCCTCCATTTAAGACCTCAAGCCAACCCACCCCCCATTTTTTCAGGTTTTTAAAACAGCCCTGTCAGTCATAAGTAACCCCCCTCCCCAAGATTCCCCCCCACCCCACCCATTCATGCCCTGGAGGTCCCAGCTGAACTCACGTCAGTCACTGACCGGCCAAGCTCGTGAGCGATCTTCTCCCATCGACCTGGTGTGCCCCCTGGGAACTTCGCCATGCTGCGTGTCAGCTGACTGAGGTCCTCTTCTGTCCACTCGGGTGCCTGAGGGGGAAACACAAAGTGATTAACACAGTAATGCAGATAAGCTCATCATAGTCAACATGGGATGAGAAAACTTAAAACTCGAGCTGAAATCTCTGAATTACTCTTTAGTTTAACAGAAAGGCATATAAAAACACAAATGGAAAAGGCTGAGAGACTGATGGTCAGAGGAGGGGGCTCTCACCACTGCACAAACTAGCCCCATCAGTGTTTAAAAAAAAAAGCAATTATAGGTTAGAAAACTTGTATTCTACACAAAGACAAAAAAATCTGTTCAGATGGTTTACTGTATCGTAAGTTTCTGTTATTACCAGTAACCCTCCACAGACCTGAGAGTGAAAGACCGCACGCTTGGGACAGATCAAATGGCAGATCTGCAACAGAACACGAACATCTATGGCAGAGCATCCTACCATAGCGTACTGCGGCTCGTGGCATTTCCTGCGGGCTAGGAGGACGCGGGGCACGCTTCGGTTACTCGCCATTGGGATTCCCATGGCTGGCTCCCAGCTGCACGCGGCACACCCGATATTCCCGGTGTTCCAGCTCAGAAAGCGGGACTTCCTGCTCAGGAGGGGAAGTCGCATGGCTGAATGAAGCCATGCGGCTGCGGAAATAAGACCGTGGCCACAAAGGGGGCCTTCGTGCATGCGCCCCGACGGTCACAGGCATGAGATGCAACGCGGCCAGCGACGGATCTTAAAAGCAAAGTGACGTCATGCGGCTGAGGTGATACGGCCACAAAGGCAGTATGGCTGCCTGCATTTTGCGAGGAATCTTACAAGGAGATTTACTGCAGATCCCCAAGCTCTTACACAGAAGCTCCAGAGGGTAAAAGAGGGCTTGGTTTGGCTCCTAAGCATGGACATCCCCCATCTTCATAAGAGGATGAAAAGAGCTTCATTTATCAGGGTGGGGGCTGATCCTCTCCACACACACATGCACACACCCTGCCATTGTTCCCACCCCAGGAGCACCTCACCCTCACCTCCTACTTGTAATGTGAGCAGAAGGCCATCGTTGACCAGGGTGGGACAGGGCTGCAGCCATGGTCACAGGCCTGCAAACAAAGCCCTCTACCTCTGCCCTCCAGCATTCCTATCTCACAGCCACTTATCCGTCTCCCCCTGATTGCACTAGATTAAGGGGGGGTGTATTCTGCCTGGATTCCACCCCAGCCTAAACCGGACCCCCACAGGTTCCTCTTCTGTGGGATAATGGGCCCACTGTGACCCAGTCAGGTACAAACACATCCTTCTTCATTAGCGGGGGCTCGCTTATCTTTGGCTAACCCCCACCCCCTGTACGCACTCACACACAACACACCGCATTATTTAACTAAATCACCAGGCGACACGCATGCAGCAGCATGTACTGCTGACCTCAAAGTCACATGGTGAGTGAGTAGGGCCAGTAGGCAGAACTGGAGTTTAGGTCACATGGGTGTGAACTTCCATTCAATTTATAGGGGGGGGGGGGGATTTAATTAGGACAATACATGCTAGCCAGCAACATATTTTGGAACAAGAACTTGGGCTAACTAGGGCGATTTCAACAGGGATGTAAGGAGGAAACATGGACAAATAACCACATTTAAATATCACTGACTGTTACAGCCATTATCTTTCCCTGTAGCGATGCTGTAGGATGACCGGAATGATCTGGCATTCCTGCGATTCCACCATCCAGCTCCCACGGCTCCTCTTCCCTGCGGATGCTGCTAATCCTTTCCACAACTTGCTGCGCGTCCATTCCGTTAACATCCCCATCCGCGAGAACATTGTCATCTTGTAAAATCGATAGCCCGACGCGACCGCTCCGGACGAGACTGAATATTAAATAAGTCAATCGATAAATTAAATAGAGAGAGCGTAATGATTTCCAATTAGGAGCACGGCGATTTTTTAAAAGACAGGAGGGACGTACATTCCCTTTGAACAAAAGGCTTGGGGGAGAAGTGGAGAAACTGCAGAGAACAAGGGGCGGGGGTTAGTGGAGTATCGAGAAGGGGTGGTTTTGTTCTTGTTTTTTTTTTTTTCTCCTTTGGCGGTGGGGGGGGGGTTGGTATTCCTGTCAGCCGAAAGCAGCGTGCAAGTCATTTGAAAAGATCACTGTGTTGGGTAATTCTGTAGGCCCGTCCGTCCCAGTTTAGATCAGCCCGGAGCCTCGCGGACACAGGAAGCCCTGTGAGGTGAGCGCCCTCCGCAGGAGGGAAAGGGGGAGGGGTGCGGCCAGTCTCCAGAGTGGGGACAAAGCCCCCGTGTGACACTAATCCGCCCTGTCATTCTCTATCTGTGCATTAAGCACACTGACATCCGCCCGCCGTGCTGATGGCTCACAGCTCAGGGGCCCTTCTCGGTGCTGCTCTCCTCCTTCCTGCGCTGATCAATAGCCCTCTTCTTTTGCATGCTCCCTTTTCTTCCCGCTCCCTCTCAGGACGGCCCCTGCCCCCACCCCAGGCACCCCTCGCCCCACAATGGAGAGGCGACTGCAGAGCGCGTCACTACCTGCCATTTCCCGGTAGAGCCCTGCCGCAGCTCTGCTCGCCTTCACGGCTGCATCCGAGGTCACATGTGCAGCTGCGTCTGTAAAGACCTGCGATGCGCTTGGCCAGCACCCGACACCCGAGCTGGGCAGCCCCAGCCTGGCGAAGGCCAGGTTCACTGCCACGCTTTTACTGTAACTTGCCCTGTTTTTTTAGCTAATGTGTGAAGGCCATGCTGAAATACTGTCACAGCAGGCAGATCTGAACGTTCCTGTTATTCTCACAAATGGGTTCCTGATTATCCAGATGGACAGTAACTGATAACTAACAGACACCTCTACCTACAGGATAGAAAAATGAAGTGAACTTAATTAGATTCAAAGTGTATGATTATAGTAATACATTAGTAACCATAGTAATTATAATGTGTATACAGGCATTATATATTACATACTTTATACATATATACAGATGTGCACATACACACACACACACACAGGCCAGCACAATTATCAACTACAAATACAATTACAACAAAAGGAATGATTTTAAGCTAAGTATTTCATTTTAAAATTCACCCAGGAGAAACAAAGGTATATCATTGGTGTACAATAAAAAATATTAATAAAAAATAATATCAATAACGTTATTATTTATTACTATTGTTGTTGTTACTACTAGATATTGATGGGTTAAACTCCACGTTTGATAGTTACTTTACGGGTATTAACTAGTAAATACAGTGCTGGCAATTTGAAAATTAAAAATCAAACTTGTGTAGATATTACACTAAAAACCATATAGTCTACACCAGCTGCTTGTGTACCGTAATACATATCGATGGCTAATTTTGAAAAGGACAAAAACATATATTAAGTTGGAAGAGAGCAATTCTTGGATTTATTAGCATCAAACGAGAGAGCAAACCCACTCACACGTTAAGCACTGGTTAAATAAGCGACTTCATCCGAAAGGAGAGCAGGACAACAGGAACCGAGCGCCATTTCGAGGAAGCCCTGTTTACAGGACGCGATATCCCGCATTCAGTCGGAGCGAAATCACCGTGTTTACGGGAGTCATCACCTCCGAAAAACTGGTTATTATCAAAATACGCCGGGCTGGGCGAAAGGTGCATCGAGAAACCAAGCGTGCTCCGAGAAAAAGCGCCGTAGCTCTCTGTAAGTGTAATTATCGGGTACGCTTTAAAGTGTCCGAGGGCTGCTATTCCCCTCCGCAGCCATGGAAAAGCACTCAACCGGGAGCCAGGAAAATAAACGTTACGACTTCAACTAAACATTTGTGTTTTTTAGAAACGATACAAATGATTTCGAGTTTGAGTGCGCTGTTTTCCGTGACAGCATATAAAATGTTTTTGTTGGATTTTTGACTGAGTTGGAGCGATTATATAAAATCACTTGAGTATGACAGCACAGGACCGAGCTTATAGGTTAATATAAAAGTGTGTGAATGAAGAGGAA